GTTTTAATTGAAAAAAAGCATAAACACTGTGGTGCCATCCTATGTTTGAGACGCCCATTCAGTCTGACTCAACCAATGGCGAGTTTGTGGTGAGACTATCTGTTTAAAAGTCATTATTTCACGATTTCGTTTAGTGGTGAAGAAGTCACACTTTAGCTTTAAGTTTGCAACAAAAACTCCATATTGCAGCCAGCTCATTACATGTGCCAGGGATCGCAGATGCTACAGATGTGCACACTATCAACAACAAGCAAAATAACAGCAATCAGACAATGAAATTGCGAAGAAGATCCCGAGAGGAGGGTGAAGCAGTGGGAAGCAGGAGCTAAAATACAAACAAACAAATTAACAAGCCAAAGTGGCAGCGAGCTGCTTCCCACGTCTCGCCAACCACTGTCTCAACTGTAATTCCTTTACTTGTTTTGTACAAACCAACTGCATATCTTTCCTCCACGTTGTCTGCCGAAATATTTAAGAATCAACTCTCGAATAGCATGAGATTGTGCAAGAACTGAATTACAGGAGGATGATCTCAGCAAAGACGCACCTACTCTACGATTAGCTGTGTAAACTGTGCAACATTAAGTCGACAACATTACAAACACTAAACTGGGAGTCTTTAAATGTGCAAAGGGCAACAAGCTTCTGTATTAAGCATCGGATGTGTTCACATCTATATGCATTCAAGTATAATCAGGAAAACAGTTTGCTTGCATTGTGTAACCACAGCAATTGTCGGCCATTCCTGAGAAACAACTCATCCAAAATAACAGATATCACACAGGGAAGAGAGAGAGAGAGAGAGAGAGAGAGAGAGAGAGAGAGAGAATGGAGGCCCTTTGAAGAAGTTAAAAGTGTAGCGGATGAAAATAAAACTGGAAAAAGCTGGATATTAATAATGTATAGCTGCCAACTCAAAGTGTTCACATGCCATCCAAAGAAAAACCACATCCCACTGAAAGCTAGTTTCCGTTGCTGAGTTTTACTGAAGGTGATACAATTTTCAAACTATAGAAACTTTGAAATGCTTGCTTTTCTTGTTCTAGATCGGACTTTGTCATGACTACCAAACTTCAGGACTGTGACATTTTTGATTCAAAGCACTTTAAAAAGTAAAGCAAATGCACTTCAAAGCAAAGGCCACATATCAACAGAATTCAAAAGGTATGAGTAATTTACAAAAACAGACCAAATGCTAGACCGCAAAGGTCAAAATGAATGTTTTTTATGAATGCCGTCTTATTGAGAGTCTTGACTGAAGTTTGTGGAGCATTTGTCTGCATTCTGAAGCATGATATCAGTCTAGTATGGTTTGTTGACTAGTAGTCGACCAATATGGGTTGATAACTAGAGTATGAGGTGCGCCAAAGTCAAATAAAAGGAAATATGTATGTAATGTAGGTCACAAATACACATTATTGCAATTGGGATGTAAACATTCATGCAGAAATTGACTCAAAATTGACTCAAATATTTGAAAACTAAAATTGGCCATTATCCATCAACAAGTCTAGTGGGTAAAGCCAAGTGGGTAAAGTTATCAGCCAATGTTGATGATCTCAAAATAGGCAAATATTGTACAATTTATCAGTCTATCACTAGTATGGACACAAGTGAACGTGTGATTTCAAGGCAGGTCAAACTGTGCAGTGACTGCCTGAAGGTTGGCCAGAGCTAACAGTGTCTGTGTGTGAAGACTTCTCGCTGTTTGCTCTTTAACAAACAGAGTAACAGCCAGACCTTTTAAATGCTTTTTAATATCACCACTGGCCTTAGGCCTTAAGAAAATGAGTGTGTGTGTGTGTGTGTGTGTGTGTGTGTGTGTGTGTGTGTGTGTGTGTGTGTGTGTGAGAGAGAGAGAGAGAGATATAAATGAGGAAACAAATTAAAGCAAACAGGAGTTACATGCATGTAAAAAGCTAATTTTCAAAGAAAAAGTCCTGTATTTCCACTTTTCTGGGTTGGTTTTACGTTAACAGCTAAATCACAACATGGTAATTAAACGCAGCTAGAAAAACATCAACACTAAAATTAGAAAAAAAAAAACTATATGAACCAGTTGACTTCACTAGCTGGTTGTTAATCTGTTTGTAGCTGTGCAGAGCTCATGCATTTTACAACTAAAATTGACTTTGATTTGCTTGAGAGCCTTCATACGTCTCTGGAGTCACATCATCTGAACAGAGACAGCATTTTCATAACTCACTAACACAACTTATAATAGAGCACAAGAGACCAATAGATCATAAGGAGCCCTAGAGACTTCTTTCAGTCAAGTTATAGGTCCTGAAACCCTTGCGTTATGGACTGGCAAAGCGGCACACAAGCGTTGACCCAGTACAGAGTGAGAGACAGAGACAGAATGGCAGCGGACGCAGAGAGAGATTATAAATAGAAGTCAAACAGAGGGTGAGCTATGGGCCACAGAATGCCACAATTATGAGTTCTCTTGCTGCAGTCTGGGATGCTGACAACACAAGAGGAGCACAAAATACACAAAGACGACACTCTCGTAGTTGAACACTAGACACTAACAAACAAGTACCAAAAATACCATGGTACCGCCATGGGTTTTTAACCAGAACCTATACCATATTCCATACCATGATATATCAAATCTATTACCACGGTACAGTAAATTCTAATGCTTAATAGCAGCAATTTTGCCAAGAAGATCTTATCTCTCTCCCCCACACGTTCATTAATCTTTAATTTGGCCAAATTCATTTCACATCTCCACTCATAATAATCTATAACAAAAACAATAGTCTAATTCTCTCCCTTTGTGCCCAATTTACTGCAGCGCTTGTATCCTTCGCTCCGTAATTATTCCCCCCCGCGCATGCAATTTATTTCCAATCATTTTTGTCTTGCTGAGATAAATTATTTTGGTAAAGGAGCTGTGGGTCTGAATAAAACCAGTCACGCTACACTGTAAAAAACTGACCGTGAATTTAACAGTAAAAGACTGTAAAAACGCTACAGTAAAAATGGTTAACGGTAAATTCCCCAACAATATACGGTGAAAAACTGTATTGGACATTACATGTATTGGACATTAATTTTACGGTAGTATACCGTTTTTGGAAGTGAAAAAATACCGTATAATTTACAGTGAATAACCGTAAATTGACATTCCCAGAATTCCCTGCATTACATTTCAAATGTTTTTTTGTTGAAATAACTGTTTCTTCTTAGTTTTTTCTTATCAGTTTTGTATATTAGGGTTGTGTGTTACACCTAATGTTGTTAAATGAATGTTTATTGCATTATTTCAGTTTCATGTGTGTTACCGTGATGGTGTTTAGTGTTTGTGTGAACGATACTGTGCACCTTCTATATATGTTATTATTTACAAGCTGCTTGTGATGGGCTTTGGTTCATCGTGTGACTTTCTCATCACCTCCTGCATTTGGTGGTTATCAGTGTATTACAAAGCTACAAAACAGATTTCAGTACTTCAATAGGTTGGTATATTAACATTATATCAGTTAAAGAAATTACGGTATTTAACTGTAAATTTAAGTTAAAACTGTAAAACGTTGCTACCGTATTTTTTACGGTAAAATTCTGGCAACCACAGCAAAAACAATTTTTTTTACAGTGTACAACAGGTTCGTATTCTAGACTGTGGGGTCTGAGAGACCTCGAACTCTAGCTAATTTTATAGGAAATACTTACAGACGGGGTTTCTGTAAGTCCTTATTAAACATTTGACAAATCGAAATTATTTGACACATGTACAACATTAAGAACCCAGGAATCTAATAATGAGGTAATAAAGTCACTGGACTCAACATGACCGTCAAGTGGTTTGGTTAACGTTACACAGATGTGAATCGTCTGAGATGTCGAGACCAATCGTTTTACTAGGGTCTATTTCTTAAACCCTGAGCCATCAGTAACCACAACCCCACCAGTCAATGTTCATTAAAAAGCCTGCGCGAGCTCAATGGTCATGTAGGGGCAAATGATGCGGTCATGTCTGTCAACTTCTTGCAAATGGTTTATATATGCTTTTCAAGCCCCGTACATGATCCCATAAATGCAGATCCAATGGAGACCAAGAAAATGAATAGTAGTAGTCTATGTAGGCGCTTATACACACCCACGGACAGCCAGAACCTTCAGATGCATCGCTTCCATAACCAGTTCTGCTGTTAACGCCCTTTTAACACAACACACCGTGACTAATCATTTATAAATCAATTAGAGCCAATCGATTTTTACCAAAGCAACATGTGGTCCTCTCAGACGAGGGTGCCTCTGGATGGAGAAACAGGAGGGGTAGTTTAAAAATAGCCCCTTTAACAACATATGGTTCCGAGACGATTGTCAAATCGGAGCGTTCATACGCCGCGTCCCCAAAAGCATCGCAAGCCTAAATTGATCGTAGCTGCATTGGTTTCAATGGGTCTGTGATGTACTTAAGCTTACAATGCTTTTGGGGACCGCAGCCCTGGTCTTTATTTACGTGAGAATTGCCCGAAACGCCAACAGAACGTCAGTTTCTTATCGCTCCCAGTAACTTTGACCGAACCCCACCAGAGCAACCCCTCACCGTGCCGCTCGCTGTCCTTCTTCTCTGGACTCTAGATGCTTTGACACAACGCAGTCTACCTCGACCCGAGTTTGTTGAACTCTACAACGTGTTTGGAAAGAATACAAACCGGATCGAGTAAACACGTTTGATACTGTAACGCTGCCATTCAGCCGCGCGCTCGAGGAAATGTATCGGTAATAAATTCCCAACCTTTCATCCCAGGTTACGCTCTTGTACAAGGACTGTGTGAAAACACATCTCCAACTACCAGGTTCCAGCAAGTGTTTCCAAAGTCGCAAAATGTGATCCACTCTCCGGCAACAATTGAACGCCGGGTTCTTAAAGTTTTGTACAGAATAATCAATCCGTGGTATTCGGATACTGCCATGAAGATTTCTACTCGCATTTCTAACCATTTTAACGCAGACCGTTCAGGTAATTCGTGTATGGCACTTACACGTTGGAATGATCCTTGGATGGCATGCCCTAGTCATAGTTAAATTCCCAAACTCGCCAAAATATCCCGTTCCGTGGCGCGACTGGAATGCGGCTCTGCGTTCAGAGCGCGAGCAACCTCGATCTGCGCAGCGCGAGGACTGGCTGAGCTGGAAACGATCAATCACGCGCTGCTCTAGAGCGCCACCTCGCGGCGTGTCAAGCCACGACACTGTAAACTCGCTTGTGAAGCTGAAGTTTATTGGCCAAATCAGCTTGCACACTGGAGGAATTTGTTGTAGAGAAATGATCCCAACATTGACAATGTTGTGCAACATAAAATGCAATAATATACAATCCCCTAAAATACACGATAAACCGTGATGAAACACAATATAGCACAACTCCTGCCAACATTTGTCAAAAAAATCAGAACCTTTTTCATTTTCAATGCAAGATTCTACACAAATCATTACAGGGCAGCAATCAAATTGATCCCTCGGTAAAAACCACAGGAAGCTCACTTAATGCTGAAAGCATTAACATAAAACATCTCTGAAATTCTTCCTATAGCAATAATGTGATGGAGTTAACTAAGTACAGACTGGTGTGTTTGTGTGAGCATGTGATTACTTGAATACAGAACAAAAGCTCTCTCAGGCCACAGAGTGGATTGATCCGCTGGTGGCGACATCACTCACGCTCGCCAACTCCTCAGACTCACAAACACTGTGTGAATGCAAGCAAGCATGTAAATATAAATACTTGTCAATATAAATAATTCAAGCAAAACATGATACTATAAGGCTTGGGCTGCAATAAAGCCAGATCTCAACAGATACTCTGATATTGCATTTCATATGATTAATGTCTTTCTTTCATGTCTTTTCCAACAACAACAAAAAACTCTCGGCAAACCACATCAAAGTGTTTGTACTAGCCTGGAAAGAAACGGAAATCACTTGATGACATGTCTTAGTATACAGGTCAGATCTGGACAGCATAGCTAATTGTGCTCATATTGGATAATCACTTAATAAAACAACATTAGTATACTGCAAGGATTTATTTATTCAGGGCACTTGCTAAATGACAACAACAAGTGCAACATAACTGCACCAATTTTGTAATATATTTTACCTCAGCATGTGCACTCACCGACTGGTCATCTCCCAATAAAGTGCTCACCCTCTGTTCTTCTGAATCCTGTTAGAGGCACAGCCACATGGCAAGGATTGGCAACCCTGCTGGGAAGAGATTAGACAAGCTATTAAAACACACACACACACACACACTCACACACACACACACCAGACCATGTTAGTACAACTATCCACCACATTCCACTACTTAAAGATTGCTGCCATAAGGAGATTAACAACTCTGCTTTCTGCACAGGTGTCATACAGACATCCACACACCACCGGAGGCACAAGCATCATTTAGTTGCAATGGCCGGTTTTGTCCCCAACACTCTATGAAATAGCTCAAGGCAGGGATAAATCTAATACATCTAATACAGAGGAAGCATCTTCAGTTCTTCTAGTGTTTGTTACAGTGAATGGTCATCCAGCACTGGAATTAGTTTGAATGTTTTGCTAAGTGGTCGACAGCAGTACACAGCAATAGCAGCATATATATATTCTATCTGTTCACAAAACAAAATGCAAATTCAAGACATGCATACACTCACATACAGCGCAGTTTTGGTTAATTATAATGTAAAAAGTTATAATAGCCTGGAATGCAACCCGTAACCCCCCACATTCAAAGCTACAAAAACATTCCCACTTGACCAACCAGTCATTCTGGACTTTTAACTGCTGGGCCACGTATTTATGCACTACATTCCTATAAAATAAGGTTCTTTAATGGCATCTATGGTTCCATGAAGATCCTTTAGAACTGTTGACACGAGGAACAAGAAAGACACTCATACAGGTTTGGAACAAGTGGAGGGTGAGTACATGATGACAGCATTTTCATTCTGGAAGTGAAATACTCCTTTAAAGCAGATCTGAAAGCAGGAACAGATAATCACAGCCATGGCAGTAACCATTCCTTAACCTCTCATAAGTCTTATAGAATGCCCACTTGCGTAATTGGATACTGAAGATGCGCTCGGCAAAGCAGAAGTTTGTGGTTTCCATAATGAATGCACATTTAAAATGTGATTGTGAATTGCACAATGTGGAAATGCAAAAGCTGCAGTCAAATCCTGTCCATATACAGAAACGAATTTCAGAAATCAAATCAGGAGGTCAACTTAGATGAAGATTTAAAAAGAAGAGAAAAGAGTTTTAAAAAACCTAAGATGACCTCTCACTTCTATGAAGACGGTTTTCAATATAACATGACCCTGATCTCAACTTATCTGAGTGAAATATAACATTTTACCTCAAATAACAGAACCATAAAGCTTTTCATTTAGGATATAATCTGATGGTTGATTCTCTGAACTTGTGGGTTGGACTCTGGCGGATGTATTTTTAGGATCTGATTTCTCTGAGGAGCTGCACTCAGTAAATGTGAACGCTAAACAGAAAACAAAGATATGCTGATGTTTGTAGTTGCTCTGGGATCAGTTAGACATGCTGAATAATATTGCTTAGCATCTTCAGCTCACATGCTGATAAGCGTGCAAAATATTTATGAGTGTTGATTCTTAAGAACACAAATAAAGGGTCCGCTTGTACAATAGCTTTCAAACGTTTTTCCTTTTTTATTTATGAAACTATAACCTCATCAAACCTATAAAATAACGTAAATTGATTATGCACAAAAATGTTAAAACCACGTTAAAACAATTTTTTGCCACCCTTTTCCTGCAGCTCTGCAAAATCTGCTGTAGTCGTTTGTTTGTTTGTGTGAACTCAATGTCACTTCAGCACACAAATGCACAGATGTTTAACACCACGAGAACGAGCACACAGCTGGGACTTCAGAACAGCTGAGGGAACATCATGGAGCTCGCCAGTCTGAGGACATTTGTTGGCTTCTAATCACTGGATTTGACAATGTTTGTGACATGTTTCAATATATATCCTGGACTGCTGTGATATCGAGTGTTTTTCACTTCCATCTGTTATTGTACTGTCATCATTTTCAGATTTACTGAGCCTAAATTACCCATAAAACAATGACTACGTTTACATGTCTGGAAGTGAAATACTCCTTTAAAGCAGATCTGAAAGCAGGAACAGATAATCACAGCCATGGCAGTAACCATTCCTTAACCTCTCATAAGTCTTATAGAATGCCCACTTGCGTAATTGGATACTGAAGATGCGCTCGGCAAAGCAGAAGTTTGTGGTTTCCATAATGAATGCACATTTAAAATGTGATTGTGAATTGTACAATGTGGAAATGCAAAAGCTGCAGTCAAATCCTGTCCATCTACAGAAACGAATTTCAGAAATCAAATCAGGAGGTCAACTTAGATGAACATTTAAAAAGAAGAGAAAAGAGTTTTAAAAAACCTAAGATGACCTCTCACTTCTATGAAGACGGTTTTCAATATAACATGACCCTGATCTCAACTTATCTGAGTGAAATATAACATTTTACCTCAAATAACAGCAGTATTTTTGGTCAGAACCATAAAGCTATTCATTTAGGATATAATCTGATGGTTGATTCTCTGAACTTGCGGGTTGGACTCTGGCGGATGTATTTTTAGGATCTGATTTCTCTGAGGAGCTGCACTCAGTAAATGTGAATGCTAAACAGAAAACAAAGATATGCTGATGTTTGTAGTTGCTCTGGGATCAGTTAGACATGCTGAATATTGCTTAGCATCTTCAGCTCAATAATATTTATGAGTGTTGATTCTTAAGAACACAAATAAAGGGTCCGCTTGTACAATAGCTTTCAAACGTTGTTCCTTTTTTATTTATGAAACTATAACCTCATCAAACCTATAAAAGAACAAAAATTGAAGTATGTAAATTATGCACGAAAATGTTAAAACCGTGTTAAAACTATTTTTTGCCACCCTTTTCCTGCAGCTCTGCAAAATCTGCTGTAGTCGTTTGTTTGTTTGTGTGAACTCAATGTCACTTCAGCACACAAATGCACAGATGTTTAACACCACGAGAACGAGCACACAGCTGGGACTTCAGAACAGCTGAGGGAACATCATGGAGCTCGCCAGTCTGAGGACATTTGTTGGCTTCTAATCACTGGATTTGACAATGTTTGTGACATGTTTCTATATATCCTGGACTGCTGTGATATCGAGTGTTTTTCACTTCCATCTGTTATTGTACTGTCATCATTTTCAGATTTACTGAGCCTAAATTACCCATAAAACAATGACTACGTTTACATAGACATCAGTAATCTAATTGTTTATTCTAAATAAGACAATATTATGATTAAGGTGTTTACATGAGTTGCTTTTATAATATTCCTTTCATGTTATAGTATATAGATTGATTAATTGCACACGTCATTACGTCCCCACATGACGCCATCAGACGTCCCCTCTAGAATTTCCTGTTTAAACATATAGTTCGTCTTCGTTATGATGCCATATACAGTTTTAGGTGTTTCATTTTTAATTTTATGAAAGCTTCAAGTGCAGTTCATTATTTGTCATGCTATACATCCAAACAGACGACGGCGGTGTTGAAGCCATGCTTTTTTGTTTGCTGTCAAACGGCTGAGCACTGTGTATATTGTCGCAAAATGCGGCGAAATGTCCTACACGACGGTAATAATGTGATTAAGGTGTGTACATGTCTATACTGCACTTCGATAATGCGACTAAAATAGCAATACTCCACATGTCTTAATTTGATTTGTGTTTACTTCGAGTATGACTTTAGCCGGATTAAGTTCATCAAAAATCTGTTTACATGGTAGATTCTTAATCAGAGTATTGTCTTAGTCGAGTTAAAATCAGAATACTGTTGTCCATGTAAACATACTGAGCGTTGTTGATTTATATGTTGGTCGAATGGTCTTTTTTAGTCTAAGTGGACATTCAAGGATTTCTGAATGACTAGATTGAGTGAGAAATTCAATAACGCACTCACTGATTCAGTGTTTTGAATAAATCGGGTGAATGAGTGATTCAATTGACTCACTCATCAAGTCGCCACCTACTGGCGTAAATGTATAACCTAATTGTGTGTCCAAACAAACCCTATAGTGTTTAGGAGAAATTGGTAAAAGCTCATGAAATTAGAATGATTTCTGAAAGATCATGTGACTCTGAAGACTGGAGTAATGATGCTGAAAATGCAGATTTGATCACAGACATAAATTACATTTTACACCGTATTCAGATAGAAAACAGCTATTTTAAATTGTAATATTATTTCACAATACTAGTGTTTTTACTGTATTTTTGAGCACATAAATGCAGCCCTGGCAAGCAGAAGAGACTTCATTAAAAACATTTAAAAATCGTAATGTTTCCAAACTTTTGACAAGTACTGGAGGCTATATTTTCAGTTCTGAATGACACACAAGCTTTGGTTGCTCATTAACACTTATCTCCTGCTTGCCAAGACATCACTTCAGCCTTCTCCAAACACACACTCACTCCCCCACAAACAAACCCTCAGAGCCATTCGTCTCTGTCATATAACAGTGACAGAAATACAATCCAGAGAGGAGCACAGAGCAGCATCACACACACATTTAACACCAATCAGTCACTGTCCATGCGCTTTTAATGATCTTCCATACCTCACAGCGGCTCTTCTGAGGAGAATTTCAGGGCGAGGCGAGCGATTTCCTCGCGGGCGATAGAGGAGGGGGACGTTTAGGCTCTTTACCCCAGCGAGATGAGCTCTACCTGGGGTTAAGAGCTGAGAACGGCATCTGTTTACACCTGGAGGTGTGGAGCTGATCCTCAAATAACTGTCTAAAGCCACAGAAGCATATGAGATCTGGTTTCTGTGTTTAACAGTCCTGAGGCGGTTCAATCAGGACCACGAGAGAGCCACATGAATGCAAACACACTGAGGCCTGAGGTGAAATGCTCAATTATTACTGGAATATTCAAACATTGTGTGTATAAGGGCGAACTCATCAATGCAAACATATACTGTAACATGTTTTTGTGTTTTTTTATCTTACACCACACACAGCTGGGAGTCTCAGGTAAACCTGTTTTCCACACTTCTCATCTCCTCACAGCTCTTCTTCATGTGAAATGACACTCAATCTCAAATGTTGCCTTCAGGCCACCGTACAGCTGCAGGAAGTGTTTTCATATACGTGTGCAACATCACAAGATTCTTTACCTCAGCTATAAAGGGTGTACTTCTGTTTGCTTATACATTTTGCTGTTTTGTCAAGAAACAGTGTAAAAACCTTTCCTTTTAGAGCTTTCAAGTTGTGACAAATGAAATATTAGCATAAATTTGTTGCATGTTACTTAAGCCTGTTCTGACTTAATATGCTTTATTTTTTTCTATAGGGAGGCCATATATCCTCTTTTTCACGGGATTTCTAAATTGCCTAAAATATCTAGGTTTTAGCTTTGTTTTCCTGTTGTTTTCATACTTGCTGAAGGTAATGACTGAAGAGTAGTTTGACCAGTTGCATGGAGGAATTGGAAATAATCGACCAATCGTGGCATGAGAGATAGCAGGATATACAGAGAACGGTAAAAGCAATGCAAGCATGTCTTCATATAATGTATGAGGACTGTAGAGAGACTGTTAAAAAAACAAACAAAGTTAAAACCTGGATATTTTAGGCCATTTAGAAATCCCAGCCAGGAAAAAAAGGGCATATAGGTGCATGGAAAACCACTGGATTAATGGTTTTCCTCTAGCAGTCGAATAACAATTTTCATTAACGGAATGTTCTGGGTTCTATTTATGGACAGGACGGACTGGAGTTCAAGACCTCTATTGATTAGTGACATCATAGTAAAATATTGTTGACCTTTGACCTTATTGTCTGCAGCCTTTGAATAATTGCCAGCATTTGTAAAGAGCATTTAACCTCATTTGTACTTCGGGTGAGTGAAGGACACACACACACACACTCTCCCACGCTCTCACTCACACACACACACACACACTCACTGACACACACACACACACACTCACTGACACACACACACACACACTCACTGACACACACACACACACACTCACTGACACACACACACACACACTCACTGACACACACACACACACACTCACTGACACACACACACACACACTCACTGACACACACACACACACACTCACTGACACACACACACACACACTCACTGACACACACACACACACACTCACTGACACACACACACACACACTCACTGACACACACACACACACACTCACTGACACACACACACACACACTCACTGACACACACACACACACACTCACACACTCTCACACCCTCACACTCACACTCACAAACACACACACACACACTCTCTCTCTCACATACACACACACACACACACACACACTATAAAGCATTTGGTGATGTCATAAAGATTGACAGCTCACTTTCTGTTAACCCGCCCATAAGCCTCAATCTGACTGGCTGGTTGGTTTGGTCAAATGTTTACATTTATGCATTTAACAGATGCTTTAATCCTTAGTGATTACTAAAGAAGAACAAAAGCAAATCGTCAAAGTGCCAACAATATATGTAATGTACAATGCCAGATGGAAAGAGACCATTGTATGTTCAAATTTAATAGCCATGATGCATTAAAGGCTTTTAATTCATATTTAATTCATAAACTCTTGAGTGCCATGGCAAATTTATTCAAATCCTTTTTTATTATTAGTTTATTTCTGAAATAATAGCAATCAGAATACATTTTTTTGCACCAAGTAATATAGTTTTTTAACTAAACTGCAGACTGTTGAACAATGTGTTTTTACAGCTTTGATTATGGCTCATTCAATCAGTTTTATAGTCATAGCTTTAGTTCATCTTAATTGAAATGAGATTTATTTTAATACTGTAAGTTGTGCATTCATGTTTCTGGGATCTTTTGCCATTGACTCTGGACTGAAGTTAGCAGCTGCTGCACATATGTATGTATTTATACATTTGATTTATTCTAATAGCGTTTTACTTATAAGACCATGTTGCTCATTCTCACACCTGTTATTTGTCCTCATCTTGACAGAAACAAACTGCATTTTAATGTTCCTTTTTTGCATCTTTATTGAGCAATGCTTCATAGTTTATATGAAGTAAACTGTTAGGAAGATAATGACAAACCAGCTGTAATAACCATAATCAGATCATGTTTGTTGGCATGAGAGCATGTTTGGCATCTGCATTATTATCTGGCAAACTGTGATTAAGCCGAATATTTCCTGCAGATTACAGTTCAGCGAGACTCAAACTGTTTTCCTCCAGTCGTGCATCAGCCCAACTATTCTCCATCAAACACTCGTTACTGCAACGAGTCGGATCCAGTTATTTGACTTTATACTGAAGCAAGTAAACAGGTCATAATGAGCACGTTCTGTTCATACAGAGCTCAATGGAAATGACGGCGGAGAGGCTTTATTTTCATGAATATGCTTCCACGAGTGTTAAATGAGCTGTGAAATGAGATTCCATCACACACACGGCGTTAAAAAAAGTGTTAAAGTGTTTAAAAGGAAGACTGAAAGAAAGTAAAAAGCCAATCTTGCTTTCAGGAGGAAATCTGGATCATTACATTGACTTTTGGAAGCCTTCAGAGGAATTTGATTTTCTAATGGCGTAATGGTGAATGCATGCTTATAAATGCAAATACAGGACACACACACACACACACACACACCAACCCTTCTGACAGACACTTATTGAGAGATTTACAGATTGTGTGTGTGTGTGTGAGTGTGTGTGTGTGTGTGTGTGAGTGTGTGTGTGTGTGTGTGTGTGTGTGTGTGTGTGTGTGTGGATCCACAACAGCTCAGTTTTTGTACTTTCTCATGGTTTGAAGGCATTTTGCACCTGCTGTGGAGAAACTTTCATTCAACTCATTTGCATTTGTTCACTTTGCGTCTGTTTCTGCGCTTCGGGCTGAGAATGAAGTTTTACCCTCAGAGAGAACGGCTCATTCTCTCCTCATGACATATGCAAAGTGCGACAGATTAGAATAAAAATTCCATTTTAAAGCAAATTAAATTAAATCTTTCTGAAATGACAATTTCCCTTGTAATACTGAGAGTAATACAATAAAAGCTGCTCCAGTGATATTTCAGATGAGGTAAAGGATGTGTGATATATGAATATCTGCCTCAAATGTCACACATCACGTCTAGCAACATGTTTAATCCAAATGGCATTTGAATGCAGATATACAGTCCATATAAGATCTTCAAGTGAACATCAGTTCTTTTTGAAGAAACTGATGCTGGGAACCAATAATATGTGAATCAGTAATATATTCTGAAACTCATATGTTTGTTGTTTACCTTAATGAATATGTAACAACATGCTGCACTTCACTGGAATTTTCTGATCACATAATGATGGTGAAAGTCAGTCAGAGTCTCTGACACTGTATATTTTTGCATTACTGCATATTTATTTTCTCAGTGTTAATATATATTATTCACATTAGTGGTCCACCAGTCTTAGACTATTAACTCCAATTACAACCTTATCTTGCAAAGTAGCACTAGTTATTAAGCATTAAACATTATATTATTTCAATCTTGTCACAGTACATTTGAAATCCACTGCAACAAATCAGGGTTTAACAAACTGGGGTTGATGAAATGCTAATAATTACTTAAACCATAAAAAAAGTCAAATACAAATATATACATATTTGGAAAAAAAAAAAATCTAAATAAAACACTTACTAAAAAAAATATGAAATACTTTACCTGCATGTCATGTGACCATTAACAAACAGTAAAGAACCATACATTGCAAATGTGTTGATAAATTATTCAAATATTAAGTTATTATAATTATTAACCAAAAATGTAAAAAAGTTAATTGAAATAAAATACATTTAAATAAAATAAAATAAAGATGTACTAAATTAACTAAAACTGAAAATTAATTAAAAAAAAACTATATATGTGTATTTAAAAACAAATAATTAAAAAAACTAAATACATGATAAAAGCACACAACAAAACTAAAAATGTTACTAAAATTAAAATGAAAACAGAAAAAAAATCAGCTGACTGAATAGTTTAGAAATCCTTGTAATGAGTGTAAACTGAGCAAAAATCATCACATAATATTTTATCAATTTTTATACTTTTTGCCAAAAACAAAACTCTATTATGTCATTTTAATAATAACAGAGTTGAAATAATGAGTGTAAACAATGAAAATATTGATTTCTTCCTGGTAATGCGACACAAATGGCAGCAATTCCTGAGAAAGAGTCTGATCTTTCTTTTATTGAGTGCTTCTGACCCTGAAGTCTGACCATCTTCATATCTTATAATATTCTACTTCAAACAAGACAGCAGTTTCATACCCCGGTTTTATTTTAATATGGGCTCAGCAAACATAATAAAGCGCAGTTTTCACGAGTAAACTGTATTTCTGCAGCTGCAGGTTTGAATCAATGTTTAGCACTCTCTTTCTGTGATTCACACGCGGCGATGGAGATCAATACGACACATCAGGAACGCCAGAGCCCAGTTATCTTCATCCGTCTCCACCAGCGTTACCATGACTACAAGCACACAGGCCAGTCCTCTCCTGAGCATCCGCTCCTCATCAACACAAGAGTGAGTCTGTGCCAGAGACGCAATGCATGGAAATCAAGACACAGGGCTCTAGAATGATCCAGAGATCTGTTACTGATCCCTGAGGATTCAGCTCTCGCAGGAACTTCATCAAACACGCATGTGTCAGATTTATCTCACAAACCAAACCTGCATTTGTACGGGCCAGAAAAAGTGAGTCGAAGTATAAAAATCAACCGATGGAGAGAGAAAACATCACTGACTGGTACATTTTTTAACATATATATCTGATGCAAAGATTGTTAAATGATCTTAATGCCAGTTCCTGTAGATCTTTTATTATCTCACATAGCCAAAGCAAATATTACTTTCATCAGATTCATCAATTATACTATAAAAATGCATAAACTACACTGAAATATTACTGATTTAAAAATGCATGAAGTACACTAAAATATTAGAGATTTATGTTTAAAATGCATAAAGTATACTGAAATATTAGTAATTTAAAAATGCATAAACTACACTGAAATATTACTGATTTAAAAATGCATGAAGTACACTAAAATATTAGAGATTTATGTTTAAAATGCATAAAGTATACTGAAATATTAGTAATTTAAAAATGCATAAACTACACTGACATATTACTGATTTATGTTCCAAAATGTATAAACTACACTGAAATATTACTGATTTATGTTCCAAAATGCATAAACTACACTGAAATATTACTGATTTAAAAATGCATGAAGTACACTAAAATATTAGAGATTTATGTTTAAAATGCATAAAGTATACTGAAATATTAGTAATTTAAAAATGCATAAACTACACTGACATATTACTGATTTATGTTCCAAAATGTATAAACTACACTGAAATATTACTGATTTATGTTCCAAAATGCATAAACTACACTGAAATATTACTGATTTATGTTCCAAAATGCATAAACTACACTGAAATATTACTGATTTATGTTCCAAAATGTATAAACTACACTGAAATATTACTGATTTATGTTCCTAAATGCATAAACTACACTGAAGTATTACTGATTTATGTTCCAAAATGTATAAACTACACTGAAATATTACTGATTTATGTTCCTAAATGCATAAGCTACACTGAAATATTACTGATTTAAAAATGCATAAACTACACTAAAATATTACTGATTTATGTTCCAAAATGCATAAACTACACTGAAATATTACTGATTTAAAAATGCATGAAGTACACTAAAATATTAGAGATTTATGTTTAAAATGCATAAAGTATACTGAAATATTAGAGATTTATGTTTAAAATGCATAAAGTATATTGAAATATTAGTAATTTAAAAATGCATAAACTACACTGACATATTAGACATTTATGTTAAAAATGCATAAACTACACTGAAATATTAGAAATTTATGTTAAAAATGCATAAACTACACTGAAATATTAGAGATTTATATTTTCAAAAATGCATCAACTATAGTGAAATAAGTGATTTATATGTTCAGTGAAAATACATTTTCTCAGAGCACACAGCAGTGGACAAAGATGCTTTTAATCTCCATACTGGTTGAGTTTAATCATATTCATCTGAGCGGATGTTCAGAAAACAGAGTTTCAGACTGATGAAGAACCCTCCACAGTCACTGTCTGGAAAGCTGACAGAGTAATGAGAGACTGAAGAGAGAAGCAGACGCTGAAGAGACTTTATTTGCTCACAGTAAATGAAGATCAGCTCAACAAACCAACACAATCCTGATACCACACACACACAATCGTCCTCTAATGCTGCTCCTCTTCTTCAGCACCAACCATCATCATCTTCATCCGTGGTTCACCAGCAAGTTCTGCAGAGAACGAACAAACAGTCACATCAACAAGCGCTGATTTCCATAATAAACCTCCTTCAATTCCAGCACTCATGTGTCGTTCACCTCTCCTGACTTTAGTTTGAGTTATTCTATAAGCAGCACACGCTATAGTCACTCACACACACACAAGCAAACAAACAAACAAACAACATACCTTTATCATTATACAAATTTATGTCCTCATTTGTCACAAAAACGCGCGCACACACACACAGAAAACAAGCAGTGAGCTGAACAAAACGGATTCCTGTTATTGTCAGAATTCACAGTCTTTCCTGATGTTAAAACATGGGCTGCACAGTTAATATAAGTTTGCTTTACTTATTTGTGGGGCTTTACAATTTGAACTAAATATATGACAATATGAACTAATATGATGATAATATTTTGATGGAAAACTGCAGGGATTCTTTTAAGCTTCTCTTTTGCTGCCAACAGCCAGTTTACAAATTGTGTAAAGATGGTCTGGTGCATGCTTTGTCAAATGCACATGAAAGCGAGTCAAACTCAGAGCAGATGCAGAGAGAACCGAGCCGCAGAAAACACCGGATCATGAGCTGCTCGCGTGTAAATGAACACAGTGCCGCACTTCCCTCTGAAATCGATTTATATTTCATTCATTTGTAGCTATTGCACTTCGATAAGTCCACTGAAAACTATACAATGATTAAAGTATTATTTCAATTAATCATGAAACCTTATGTTGAGCCACAAAAATCACACTGTGAAGATTGATTGGTTGGTTTTTTGAAGATTCACTGCGATGGGTTTTTAGAGGCTAAGCACAGAGACAGCACACATGAGAGGAACAGCTGAATAATGCCTTTGTGATGGAGATCAAACACACAAACACTAGAATATCAATTATTATATAAATTACCATTTTCTAAGGGTTTTTATATTCTATTTGTTTTATTAATTATTCTAATATTTGTTTATTTATTTACAAAGTGAATTTCTAATTTCACTCAAAGGTATAATTTCTTAGTTTACAGTACTACTTGAATGAATTTAAGGCTATTACATTATCATGAAAATAATGTCATTATTTCAGTACATACAGTGGTGGCCAAAATGATTAAAACACTAGTATTCTCAGCAGTTAAAACATGGTTGAAGTCAGTTATTTCTATATTTTGCTGTAGTGTGTCAGTAGGAAATATCAGTTTACATTTCCAAACACGAATTTTGTTCTAATGCATTCATTGTGTTCTAATCATTTTGGCCACCACTGTATATTCATGCTAAAGTAATGCAGTAAACTTACACTACATTATATACTGTATATATTAATCAGTCAGAGAAAGATGATTAGAACAGTAAAGCCAGCGTCTGAGCTCAGGGTTGGAGTTTAGAGGTACGACACTGATGTTGGAACAAAGCCGCACATCTTCAATCCTCAGCCGACAGCACAGAGAAACGGCCACAGCTGGAACGCAGCGTCCCAATCAAGCCAAAGAAGCGTAAAATAAAGATGCCAGCCTGACCGGAGCAGCGCCGCGGGCATCAGGAACCACTAACCACCTTCATCCTCGTCCTGCAGCCACTGCTGTAGATTAATGACCCGACCCGCAGATTCATCAATGAGCAGCATTCACACACACTCACTCACACGCACACGCACACGCACACTCTCACACACACACACACACACACACACTCACGCACTCACACGCACGCACGCACACTCGCTCACACACACACACAGGTTTGTTTTTGTGAAAAGTGGGGACTCTCCATAGGCGTAATGGTTTTTATACTGTACAGACCGTATATTCTATTGCCCTACACCAACCCTACCCCTAAACCTACCCCTCACAGGAGACTTTCTGCATTTTCAGATTTTCAATACACTCCATTCTGTGTGATTTATAAACGTTTAGAAAAGTGGGGACCAGGGGTAATGTCCTGAAAAGTCACCTTCTCCTTGTAATACCTATGTTATACCTTTGTCATTATACAAATTGATGTCCTCATTTGTCACAAAAACGCGTCCACACACACACACACTCACTCACACACACTTACTCACACACACTTACTCACTCACGCACATGCACACGCACACATACTCACTCACACTCACTCACTCACACAAACACACACACTCACGCACATACTCACTCACTCTCACTCACACACACACTCACACAAACACTCACTCACACAAACAAACACTCACTCACACAAACACACACTCACTCACACAAACACACACACACAATCACGCACACAAACACACA